CAGCCGCAGCCGGCCCCCCAGCCGCCGCAGGCGCACGCGCTCACCACCCTGAGCAGCGAGCCCGGCCAGTCGCAGCGAACGCACATCAAGACGGAGCAGCTGAGCCCCAGCCACTACAGCGAGCAGCAGCAGCACTCGCCGCAGCAGATCGCCTACAGCCCCTTCAGCCTCCCGCACTACAGCCCCTCCTACCCGCCCATCACCCGCTCGCAGTACGACTACGCCGACCACCAGAACTCCGGCTCCTACTACAGCCACGCGGCGGGCCAGGGCTCGGGGCTCTACTCCACCTTCACCTACATGAACCCGGCGCAGCGCCCCATGTACACTCCCATCGCCGACACCTCCGGGGTCCCTTCCATCCCGCAGACCCACAGCCCGCAGCACTGGGAACAGCCTGTCTACACACAGCTCACCAGACCCTGAGGAGACCTGGAAGAGCCGGGGTGGGTGATGGAGCTGATGATTGAAAGAAGAAGAGAGAGAGAGAAAAAGAGCCGAAGAAATCAAGAACCGGTCGAAATTCCTTTGGACACTTTTTTTTTTTTTTTTTTTTTTTGTCGTTGTCCCTATTTCTTAAAGACGTGTGAGCGAAGTTAACGATTGCTGAGATCCCAGGAGAGAAACTTTCAGACGTTTTCCGAGCGCATGCCAACGTATTGCAAATGGCCGGGCCACTCGTGGCCGGATGGACCCGCCAGCACCAGTGACGAAGGGCTTGGTTCCTTCAGAGTCAGCGTGGAGGACAATTGGAGAATCTCCCTGCCTGTTTGGACTCTGTAATTATTTTTTAGCCGTAATTAAAGAAAAAAAAAAGTCCTCTGTGAGGAATATTCTCTATTTTAAATACTTTTAGTATGTACTGTGTATGATTCATTACCGTTTTGAGGGGATTTATACATATTTTAGATAAAAATTAAATGCTCTTATTTTTCCAACAGCTTAACTATTCATAGTTCAACAGTGTCCCTAGCCTTCCTTGCAACCAGAGTATTTTTGTACAGATGTGCTTTCTCCTAAACAAACAAACAAAAAACAAAAAACAAAAAAAGGAAAAAAAAAGACAAAAAAAAAGTGTATTGTTATAGTAACATAAAAAAATACACAGAATTTTGTTACACCATCAGTTTTGGGGGTGAGCTTTGGTTAATTCCCCGGGCTCTCAGATTTCAGGAGCAGCTGCCTTAAAAACAAATAAGTAAATGGAAGCCTTCTTTTGCAATAAGGGGAATGAACAGTTAGCCTAGAGAGCATTGGTGAGCTTTATTATATATATATTTTTGAAAACAAGAAGAAAAACACCTTGAGCCTTAACATGCCCCCTCCTCCCCGCCGCTGGGAAATATGTAACGCTGTTCCTAGAACATTCACTGTGCCTTTGCTTGCCAGCTGCAGCCCCAGAAAGGAAAGGCAACCACAAGCAAAGGAGACCAAATTATCTTGGGGAAGATTTTTTTTTTTTTCAAGCAGCCTGGAAGTGCCCAAGCACATTGCCCCCTGGTTGCCTGCCTGGGCCCCAGGTGGACAGCAGATGCTAGCTAGAGTCTGCGTGCTCAGACTGTTACCTGTGCCTCCCTGAACACCAGCATTTAACCTTCAAGACATTCCATGTGCTAAAATTATTTATTTTGTAAGGAGGAGTTTTAAGGAAAAAAAAAAAAATCTCCTTCCTTTTTTTTTTTCTTTCTCTCTTTTCTCTTTTTTAATTTACTGTCTTTAAGGTCGATTGTTGGCGCCTTCCTCAGAGGGTATGGTCATCGGTTGTTAAATTATGTTCTTAACTGTAACCATTTTTTTAATTTATCTCTTTAATCTTTTTTATTATTAAAAGCAAGTCCCTTTGAAGTCCTCATTCTAGATTTGTACAAATGCTTTTTTGTCCGTCCTTGTGGTTTTTTTTTTTCCTCTTCTTTGTTGTTTTTGTTGTTGTTGATAACAAACTGGAAGCCTGTTTCTCTCTGTTTGTGGACAAATGAGAGATTACAAATGCGGTAAACATATCACCGAGTCGTCTGCAGTGTTTGCTGCCACAGACCTTTGGGCTGCCTGGACTGTGTGTGGATGTGTGCACGTGTTGTGACATGGAACAACGCAAGCCTCTGCAGGTGTGTGTCCTGCAGAGACATGGACAGACCTTAATTCTTATTCACTGCTGTGGCTGGAGAGTACAAGGATTGCTTTTTTTTTTTTTTTTTTTAAAGACAGCAGGCTTTTTTTTTTTAATTTAAAAAATATATTAACAGTTTTAGAAGTCAGTAGAATAAAACCTTAAAGCATTCTTATAATATGGCATCTTTCGATTTCTGTATAAAAACAGACCTTTTAAAAAAATATCTCTGTAACTTAAGAAACCTGACATTTATGTCATATTCTCTCTTTAGGTAAGGTTTGGTTTGTGTTTGTGTTTTGTTTGTTTTCCCCCTCCAAACTTTTCGTTCTCTGTGGACCTCACCTTTCCTTCCTTCCTTCCTTTCTTTTTTGTATATTATTGTTTACAATAAATATACATTGCATTAAAGTGAAAACAGCTCTTTGGATTTATTTACTCCATTCTCCTGTTAAAAACAGGATTTGAGGAGCCAGGCACTCAAGACATTGTAAAAGGGTGATCTTAAGTGGAGGTTTCGATTTGATGGCTTCCCTTGCCAATTTTAAACTGGGCAGTGAAAGATGGGGTCGCCAGTGCCCCTAAACCTGAGCACAAAACATCTTGGGAAGTGTCACCCCAGAAAGCCACAGAGAGAATGTCATGTCAGTTTTGCCCACTCTGGCAAAATGTATGTTCCGGTTTCTAACACCCCCCCCCCCCACCAACCCCCTGCTTTCTGTGCAGAAGCTGTTTTCCTGTAGAGGTCAGAAGGGAGAGGGAACAGGGAACATTAGACTGGACATCAGAAGCCTGTCAGGAGACCAAATGCCAGAGGGGTGACTCTTTTTTTCTGAATGCCATATGGCAAACTTTATGTTATTATGAACACATACTTGCAAGGCAAAAGAGGCAGAGGGAACGAGGGCCTACCTACCTACCTACCTGCGGAAGACAGGGAAAGCCTGTCCAGTTAACCCCTGAAACAATTTCCATCTCTCCTGACTTCTCTGCAGAGACAATGAAGAGAAACTGTCCCCCTCCACCCCCACCTCCCTGTGTTCCCTCCAGTTTAACTCATCGTACAGAGATGCTGAGGAGCCATCCTAGAAGAAATATGGCCTAATCCTGTTTTCTTTGGCCCCAATTCGACGGGGAGTTTCCAGGTTCAGAGAGCCGTTCAGGTCATTTTTCATTAAACAGATGAAGTCACCGCCTGCCTCCCACCTCCTCCAGGCACACACCTCCCCCCCACCCCCCAGCTGATGAGGCCCGTGTCTGAGAAGGTGAAGGCACCTCCACCACTTCAGGCAGAGTGAAGGGCCTGGGCTCTACTTCGTTCCTGGCCAGCCTCCCACACTAGGATCAGGGCAACCAGGAAAAGGATAGTTATCAACTGGAAGCAGCATTAGTCTGAGGCCTCCTTGGCAAATTCCTCCCACAAGCATTGATTGAGGGCCTGTGATCTGTGGGGCACAAGTCTCTCCTCCCACCACCAGACAGCAGACTCCTTACTGGTGTGACAGTCCAAAATCCGTCTGCCCCTTTCCCCCACCCCTCAAAAAAAAAAAAAAAAATCTCTTCTTTTCCCCTCTCCTGTCAATATTCACCAAGTCCTGTTCGAAATGGCCATGATAGGCCCTAAGCCTTGTCCACCTTACTTGTCCTAATCGGCACACAGTGACCACACACACACACACACACACACACACACACACACGGGCCAAATTCATACTATTTTCTAACTTCTGTCATTTTCCTTATTGTGATACCCTCATCTGGCCTTCTTAGAGCCAGAATGTTCTGTTGGGACCTAAATTTATTAGGGTGCCTCAGGGCAATTTTAACCACCTGCTGCCTCAGTTTCCCCTTTCTTCTGAGAATGTTTACAGTTGCACCTTACAGCCCACAAGGTGATATATATATATATATATATATATATATATATATATATATATATATATATATATTTTTTTTTTTTTTTTTTTGGAGTGATTTTCAGCCATCACTCCTCCAGATACTGACCGCAGCAGACTGTTGGCCTGAAGGGCAGTCCTGTGGAGCTAGAATTTAGTAAAGCAAGATTTATAAAGGGTTCCTTAGGAGGTCCCCAAGTGGCTTCGATCTGCAGCAAATACCCAGGTTGCAGTAGAGGGTCCCAATCACGGCCACCCACCCTCACATTCGTTAGGTCTAGCCAATACCCAGTGTCACCAGATTATGAAATATTTTAGAGAAAGTTTCATGGTAAATCCAAAAGCATGGGGCTTATCACCCTGGCAACGTTAGCATGGGCTGGAAACCTAGGAGAACCTCAACAATAACAACAGAAAAAAAAAAAAAAAAAAAAAAAAAAAAAAAAAAAAAAA